TTTCTATTAAAATTAATTAGAAATTGCCAATATTTCTCAGTTTGCCACCTCAATTTTGTGGGGGAAGTATTAATATTCTCCTAATAATAGTCTCTTTAGTTGGCTCCAACATGTTCAAATACAATAGCAGGAGTAAGGAGGAAAACTTGGTTGAGGCAATACAAGAAAAAGAAATTAAATCCTTTATCTGCTCTTTATTTCTTAAACTGAGGAGTCATTTTTCTTTCACTCATTTCTACCCCATTTTTTTCTGTATACAGACATACAGTTTAATTGCTTGTTTACATCACCAGTGGTTTAAAAATTAATTTGAATTCGTGTGCATAGATACATGTAATACAACTGGGGACTACAGAAGGAAAAGAATCATAGAAATTAATACTATGCTGCCTTGGAAAAAAGGGCAAAAAGTGAAGGAAGAATTTTTTTTTAAACAAGGGACCCAAGTGATACAGAGATTATTCCTTAATATGCATCTTAAGTTAAAAAGAAACAGTTAAATTAGAAATAGATTGTACGTTTCCCATCTTAATTAGCAAAGATTTCACCTGCTGCTCCCCTATATTTAAAGATGACTATGTAGGTTGAGATCCCAAACCTAAGATAGACATAGAATGTCCATCGTTAATTGGTATTGGTCTTTCATGAAAAATTCAGTCCACCTACTCATGAGGCCTGTAGAAAGATAACACAGGAGAAACTGAATGAAATTTAAATTATTTAAAATTAAATTGAAATGAAAATGATTTTAAAAAATTTAAACATTTTAAGTCCAAATACAGTTAAATTGAGAAAGATGAAAAAAATTGAATTTCATCAGAATTTCCCTGGTTCTCAAAAAGAATATTCATAAATACAACCCTTCCTGCTCTAGAGAGTACTAGAATTCTGGAATCCTGTTTGCCTTTTAGTAGTAGTGTGAGCTCAAACATATCACTGTTCTATATTAGTTTGTTTCCTTTCTCTATAAAATGAGGATGATAAAACTTTTCTCACTGGTTAGAATCCACCTAGCCAGATAACTCTGGGTAAGGTACTTGATTTGAGCCTCAGTTTTTCTAAAATGTAAAATCAGAGTTAATCATATCTACCTAGAGTATTTTTAATGTTAAGATCATAAATATGAGGCTGGGCGTGGTGGCTCACACCTGTAATCCTAGCACTCTGGGAGGCTGAGGCGGGAGGATCTCTTGAGGTCAGCAGTTCAAGACCAGCCCGAACAAGAGTGAGACTCCATCTCTACTAAAAACAGAAAGAAATTATCTGGACAACTAAAAATATATGTAGAAAAAATTACCCAGGCATGGTGGTGCATGCCTGTAATCCCAGCTACTCGGGAGGCAGAAGGATTGCTTGAGCCCAGGAGTTTGAGGTTGCTGTGAGCTAGGCTGACATCATGGCACACGGCACTCACTCTAGCCTGGGCAACAGAGCGAGACTCTGTCTCAAAAAAAAAAAAAGATCATAAATATGATGGGCTCACAACATTGCCTGACGTTAAGCTCTCAATAAATGATAACTTTTCATCCATCAAGTAGTTAAGAGTAAAGAGAGCAGCTAAATATTGCATTCTACATCACCCTAAGTTATAATAAACAAAGATAAACATTAGATTTTTCTTGTATCGACCCTGAATTGTACATAAGGATAATAGAACTTATAGAATTATTTTTTTGTGATTCCCATTCCAGTGTTTTACTGTTGGGTCTGAGCTGAGAAGCACTTCATTCATTCATTCAGTCAGTCAATCAGTAATCATTTATTGAACACCATAAGCATTGATGAGTACAGGGGACAGGGACAGAGACTCAGCGGGAGAGTCTTTTTACCCTCTGGGAGCTAACAACATGAAACAAATTAGTGTGTTTGGGGAGCAGCGATAAAGGAGTGGTCATTTGGAGAGGAATGTGCAAAATGAATTTATAAAACCAAATGTAAATGATTTTTGAGGTTCTTATTCATATCACTGTCCCCATATTAATCTCACATCAGTTTATAATATGAAGTAACTGCCTTCCTTTGCCCCTTCTAAACCAAGACCAAAGAACCACAGCTCCATGTTTTGTCAATTTGTAATAAGAAATTATAGCATACTAATTTAAAAGTAGAAGCTTCAATGTTTAGTGTTGCTTGCATTTTTTTCTTTTAGATTTTGCTTTGAAATTATAGACCATTTGAAATATGTATGTATCATGAACTTAGTATCATGCAGTACTAATGTGCCTTTTTTCTCCTACAGGCTTTCTACAAGTATAAGAGAGTTACAGAATTTTAAAGTCTTGTTACAACACAGTAGGTAATAAAGGCTTCTATATGTCTAACTAGAGACATAAAGTGACTATGTAAAAGCCTTTTAATCTTGGACATTCAGCAGAAAGAGACTAATCTAAGAGTTCAAGAATTCTGAACTCTTAAAAAATTCAAATGCTCACTTGAATATTTATTCTTCATAGATTATTATCAACTAGAAATATTTATAAATGAAGTATATACTTTTAAAATATGTAAGTTATACTAATTCTGTGTTTAATTTCATGTGTTTTCATCTGTTGAATATTCTATTTGCTTAGAATTGGTTTTGTTTTTATTCTATTATCCTTTATATTTCCAGTTGTCAAACCTTAAATGACTATGTCTCCATTTTAATAACACTGTTTACAGTGTGTTATGGAAAAGGAAAACTAGGGAACAAATGTTGCTTAGGGCTGGTATCAGTGACAAAAATTTATCAATGATTTTTTTTAATGTGTTTTTAGCCTTGCCTAGCTGTGTGTGTCACTTTCTATAATATAGAATTGTCACCGTGATGAATGGTCCTTTCACAGAAATTCCTTAAGATCCTCCATGACTTCAACTTCATTGCTTTTTATTTAAGATTTTTAGTTGTTGTTGCTGTATTTTGTTTTCCGTCTAAATGACCTGCTCTGGTAAGGTGAATAGGTACTCCTCCCTAAGCTACCCAGCCAGATTTCAGGTGTGTGTAGTGGGCTGGCTCAAGAGTATTTTGTTTAGAACTTTCTTTTGATTTTGCTTTTCTTTGTTCTTAGAAGCTTTAGGGACAGAGAAACTTTAGAAATTTTCAGTTTCTTTTAGAAAAAAAATTGAATAAATATTTAACAGATTACTTCTTGATAAAATTTGAATGGGACTCTATGAATTTCTAATACCAATTAAAAGCATTATATATACAAAATTTGCTATTTTAAATTAAAGCATTTTTACAGGATTTAATTTTAGAATGCAATCTATGCAATCTTCTCAGTGTGGTTTTCTTTGGTAGGATATGTAAGCAGGTAGATTAAGTCAAGCCTTCTTTAAGCTTCCCCCCCCTTTTCTTTTCATTTTATTTCATTGTATATAAATGGTACTTTGTGTAATTTGTACCAACAGATGGCTAATGAGTCCTAAACTGGCATTTTCTAAACATGGGATTTAAAATCTTTAAACAGTATTTAAAAATCTTGATTTTTTTAAAGGTGTCAGTAGATAGAATATGATTAATTTGGAAGGTTGCATCTGTGTAGAAGTAATGCGGGTACAAAATCTAGAGTTTTTCCTTAGACTCTGCAGTCTTTTCTGAAGTAAATAATAAGTGCTCTTAAACGCTATCTTATCCTGCCAAAGTCTGAAATGTGTTCACTGATGATTTTAAATTGTATTTAGCTGGCTCACCCCTCTTTTAAAAATACTTAGCCATCCCTTGAAGGGACATGGTTGAGAGATTAAGGTCTCACAAGTTATTTTCTCACTAATTTCTAACCTTTATAAATCTGGG